AGGACGCTCTGGTTTCTCCGTCCGCCGGCCCCCCCCCCCCCCCCCCCCCCAGTCCAGGCCGGCGGACGAGGCCTGGAGCCTCCGTCCGCCGGCTCCCCCCCCAAAGTCCAGGCCCGGTCCCCCCCTTTTCTTTCTCTCCCCTCCCAACATTCTCTGTCTCACCCACTCTGTTTCCCCCCTCTCTTTCTCTGCCCTTCTTCCTTCTCAACTATCCTTCGTCCCATTCACTCTCTTTCAATCTCTGTCTTTCTACCCATCTACCTTCCTTCCTTCCTAGCTTTCTCCCTTCCTTTCTTTCCAAATTACTACCATTAACCCCACTCCGTCTCCCCCCCTTTTCTCTCTTTCCCCCCTATCTAACTCTGTCTCTCTCTCTCTACCTCCTCTTCTCCATTCCTCCCTTCCACTCGCCCTTCCTTCCTATCTAGGACCCGTCGTCTACCGCCACGACGGGCTTTCCATACTAGTTGTTTTATAAAATGGAAGAGTGACCCTGATCATATTAATGATTCTTAATCCATAAGTCAAAAAACTTGTTTAAAAGTCTAGAATGCTAATTTATTTTATGATTCAGGCATCTTTTGTATGGTCAAATCTAGTTTGTGACAACTTGAGTTAGGCCTGACATAGCCACGGCTATCCATTTAAAAAAAATTTTCTTTTGGATTGTATTATTGGGAAATGCTTCTAATACTGTATGCCAATAAAAGGTATTTGAATTTGAAATAATATCCAGGGGTAACCTCTACAGGCAGGACAGGAAAAGACAGCATAATGCAGCCAATAAAATTTAGTTATTGGTTGACATCTCAGGGAAATGAAACTCATTTGAATGTCGTCAGCACTTCTTGCATGGCCACATGACCCATCCAATGGTTTCTGAGACTTATGCCTCAGTCTGAAAAAACACAGGTGGGTTGTGAGTTCTCCATTTCAAGTATGCTTTTCACAAACTGCCCCCTCCCCACCGTTTCAGCTCAGGGCTGATTTAAACTGGGGATAAATATCTGTTGAATACATTTAAAAGCCCCTATATGTCCAACATGCCAAAACAGGGCCATATATGTTCAGGAATAGATGCTGTACACTGGGCCTTAGCAACCCCTTTCTGTGTATTTTACAGTGCCTTTGGGTCAGTTGGATTGAAATAGCCCCATAGAGAAAATTCCATACAATGGAGGAAAATTCCGCCTTTCCCAGGGAACATTCCTATATATCCACTACAGTCCCCATCTAGAAGTGTAGGTGGTTGCTGTGTCCTGAGTTATTGTAATGATGAACAGAGAGTTTGGGTTTTGGTCTGCTCCTCCTCTCCTAAGCAGACTGCTACAAAGCTCAATAGGTGTCTTTGGGCAAATCACAGTCTGACTCAATATTTCACATGGTTTCTGCAGAGATAAAACTGTAGAATTTTATCTACCCAATGGCAGCACTGAAATGGCAGGCAGATATTTTCTCTCTTATGTACTGCCTTAATCAATCCTACCAAGAAAGTGATAACTGCTCAGGTTTGATATACCAACAGCACTGCCAGTTTAATAGCGGAAAATGCAGGGTTCTCTCTCACTGTAGGCAAATCCCTCTTGGCTTGCCTCAATTTCCCCTCTTTATGATTGTCCCCAGCTCTTACTGGGGGGGGGGGACTTGGAGTCAAAAACATTTCAAGCTTGCAAGGAGATTGCAAAAAGTAAATGGACTACGTTACTCATCTCATCTCATCCCAACCCAACACTCTCTACAATACCCTCACCCCAGAGAACCAATATCATCCACACGCCATCCCTGGCCGTTTTCTTTCCATTTCTCACACTTCCCTGGAAGTGGGTGAATACGGTAAGGAATGAAGTGGGTGAATATGGTAAGGAATGAAGAGGAACCCAAAAAGTGAAGCCCATCAAGGCCTGAACACAAATTTGGAAGTGACTGGAATCATCCTGTGTTGGGGCGAAGCTTTTCAAACTGGACGAGTATGTATTTTGAACTCTCCCAGTCTGAACTCTGCAGTAGCATCTCCCAGTTCTGGCTGTTAACAAAAATAATGCGAGTTAATAGATTTTGCAACTGTTACGGTTTGGGTGTTAACTTGCTTCTAACTGCCTTTTCCCATTCCTTCCTGCCCACTTGAAATGTAAGCTCTGCTACTGAATTTAGAAGTGCTGGTATTGAACATATATTGGGGGGGGGGGCAGAGAATTTTTCATTAGTTGCTGTAAATTTTCCAGGTTGTGTGGCCGTGGTCTTGGCATTGTAGAACCTGACATTTTGCCAGTAACTGTGACTGGCATCCTCAGAGGTATAACACAGAAAGATGGAGTACTCTCTGTGTCAAGGTGAGACGAAAATGGTAGGCAGTTAATTTATATCTACTTCAGAAGCTGGGGTAGGTCTGAGTCATTATCTTGTAGGAGTTCCCCAGGCTATGAACATGCTAATGGAGGAGCTTTCCTGAGGAGGTTCTTTGTATATGGATTGTTTCCTGAGGAGGTTTCCTGTTTCCTGAGGAGGTTCTTTTGCATGTGGATTGGCTGTTGACATTCTAATCTTATCTGTCGTGCTACTGTCAGATGTAGAGTCTTTTGTGTTTTTCAGGACAGGAAACCATGCCCTATTTATTTTTAAACTCTCTTCTTTCCTGTTGAAATTGTGCTTATGTTTACGAATTTCAGTGGTTTATGTTTATGCATTTCAGTGGCTTAAATTACCTGCCTACCATTTTTCTTCTCACCTTGACACGGAGAGTATTCCATCTTTCTGTGTTATACCTCTGAGGATGCCAGTCACAGTGGCTGGCAAAACGTCAGGTTCTACAGTGCCAAGACCACGGCCACACAGCCCAGAAAACCTACTTTAATGAACGAACTCCGGCCGTGAAAGCCTTCGAGAACAATTTTTTTCATTCTTTTTTTGATGACTGCATCTTTCCCACAGAATCCATCCATGTGGTCTTCGGACGCAGCCTTTCTGAGTGCTCCAAACTATACTTTGTCGCCAGCCGAACCCAATGGTTACTTTGCATGTTTAACAGTAGGGATTACTGGGTCCCCTTTGGCCACCGGCAGGGGATGGGTGGGTTAGGGCTGCCAGATCCAGGTTGGGAAACTCCCGGAGATTTGGGGGTGGAGCTTGGGGAGGACAGGGACCTCAGTGGGGTACAATGCCACAGAGAGTCCACCCTCCAAGGCATCCATTTTTCTCCAGGGGAACTGATCTCTGTAGTCTGGAGATGAGCTGTCATTCTATCAGACCCGGGCACAAAGGGGAGTTTATTGCTGATGTATCACTAATGCCAGTTTCGCTTTTGTAACCTTGCTTGCACGGGACACCTGTCTTCTGTCTTCCCTTTCCTATCTCATGCCCTCTCTGACATGAGATTCCGTGTGTAGGGGGGAAAGTGTGAGCGAACGATTGTTGTAGTCTAGAGCTGTGCCATGATTGTAACTCTTCTTGAAGCAACAGTCCCCAAGGAGCAACTGGGTTTTCTCATGGGAGTGACCTTGGGCGAAGATAAGACTTTGGGAACAGCTAGTCGGTTGTGTAACTATCAGAGCCTTGAGTGGGCTGGTGTATATGACGTATGCATGGAATGTAGGCGCTCACCTTTACTTTCCATCTCCCGCCCTGGACTCGCCAGTCCTAACAAGGGCGTTCATCTCTACAGTTAACCAAATCTTTCCAATAAACCTTTTAAGTGATATTGGCTGAAGAGTGGTTTTACTGGGAGCCTGACAAATTCTGGGGAATCCGCAGTCTCACCTGGAGGCTGGCATGCCTATCAGAATGCTGAAATCAAAGCAGTTGCTTGGTTTGATCGGACTTCCTCCATTTCTACTTGTGCCTTTTGATTTCAAAAACAACAGACACTTATGTTTCTGTGCAAATAAGTATTTACGCTTCCCCTCTCTTTTCTCTCTCTCTCTCTCTCTCTTTTTTAGCCTTGTTACGAAACAGTGAAAATGTGGCTTCAGGAAAACCTGCTAGCAGTGGGGATTTTTGGATTGTGTACAGCTTTGGTTCAGGTACATTATACGGACCTCTTCTTGCCTGAGTGATTTCTGTTTTGAAAGGTTTGAATTTGCATGTATTTAGTAGTATACCATGTATTTTGTATGTGTTCAGTATTACACTAACTGTCGTTAAAGACTGCCCTAGCAAAAGTTACATCCATCAGCAATGTAAGACTTCACACTTTCTCCTTTTTCTGTGCATGTACACATGCAGTCGTCAGCTATTTCTGTATGAATAATCTTTAAAATCTTGCTTAATCTTCTGTTATTTATGATTAGGACTTGTTCATATGACCATTCATTGTGCGACAAAACAATTCAATGAGTAACAGTTTATATTAACTTGTTTGCATTAATGGATTCAATGGGGGGGAGCAAGCTCAAGCAAAGAGGGGAAACATGGCTAATTACCAATCCGTGGCTCACCTTCTTTTTAGCCAGGGGGAAAGGATAATGAAGGGGCTGCGGTGGCTCAAGTGGTTAAGACACTGAACTGCAGGCTGGAAGGTCTGTAGTTCGGCAGTTCGAGACCCGAGTGCCGCATGACGGAGTGAGCTCCCGTCTCTGGCCCCAGCTCCTGCCAACCTAGCAGTTCAGAAGCAAGAAATTGCAAGTAGATAAATAGGTACCACTTCGGTGGGAAGGTAACAGCGTTCCGTGCACCTCGGTGTTCAGTCATGCTGGCCACATGACCACGGAAACGTCTCTGGACAGTGCTGGCTCTTCGACTTTGAAACAGAGATGAGCACCGCATCCCTAGAGTCGGATTCGACTGGCTTTCGAGCGAGAGAAACCTTTACCTTAAAGGATAATGCAAGCAATAGAATGGCATTTACTCCAGAGCTCTAACTCAGACAAAGTTTGTCACAGTAAGGGCAAGATCAGAAGGTTTGTTGAGAGCTGAGTCTGGGTTCCCTATCGTGACTCTCATACTATCAGCCACATGTCTCACTGCAGGGAATTAATTTCCCAAGCATGTGAGACCTTGATAAAGCCTTTCACTCGCACCATTTTAAAACTTTATTTATTTAGATACTAGTACCCCACTTTTCTTACCCAAAGTGGCTTCTCACATCATTCTGCTCTCCTCCTTTTTATCCTTACAACAATCCTGTGCAGGGGTCATTTCATAGAGAAAGAGGTGCAGGAGCTCATTAGCATAGCTTATTAGCATAACTTATTTGCATATGCCACACCCCCTGACATCACAGGAAGTGTCAGAAGGCAACGCCCACCGCTCAGGCCCCACTGGACTGTTTTGGATTGCTAGCTATGGGGGGGGAACACACAGATCAGCCCTCACAGAGGAGGGAGAGCTTGTACCTGAAGGTGGGCCGGGGGAGGGGGGGCTTTGCAACTTACCTGGCTGCTTCTTGGTCTGACTGAGGGCTACTGGGAGCAGGGGGCGAGGCTTGTTGCATGTGCCCACCCCCTGGGCTCCTTACTGCCGGAGCTCTGCTCCTGTGCGCTCCCGCAGGAAATGACCCCTGTATGTGAGGTAGGTTAGGCTGAGAGAGTGACTGGCCTACCTTTCCTCCAGGAACTACAGCTGCAGTCCCCCAATTCATGCTGCTTTGGGTTAGGAGCCTCCTGTCTCTCAGGGCTGCAGCCCCAATTTGCATTGGCACAGTGTATGCTTGGGAAATGAGTTTCCAGCAGCATGACGAATAGCAGGTGTTATGAGATTTATCTATTTATTTGATTTACTAGGCAAAAGGCCCATTTTGAAAATAAATACAACGATCTTTAGAAAGAGGCTCTGGGTGGGAGCCCCAGCCTTGGACACTCAGTGTCAATTTGCTGTGGTGAACTCAGCAGGGTATAATGACACTGAGTCTACCATTTTCTCCAGAGGAACTGATCTCTGCTACCTAAAGAACAGTTGTAATTTTGAGTGATCTCCAGCCCACACCTGGAGATTGGCAACGATGGTTCCCCAGAAGGGAATGGTTGGTTTGGAGGGTGTCCGAGGTTCCAAGTCTCCTGAAACCTCACCCTCTCCAGGCTCCATCCCTCACATCTCCAGGAATTTCCCACCTGGAGTTGGCAACCCTATCTCCTTCCTACCTTTATTTCCCCCTCACTCTTCAGCTTTCCACCCCCACACACCTGCAGCCTCTCCCGTGCTCTGAAGCCCTGACTGCTACGTCACATTGGCTGTCATACGGGGGCCACCACAGCAGCATATAAGGATACAGAGCCCACCATTTTCTCCAGGGGAACTGATCTCTGCCATCTGGAAAGCAGTTGTAATTCTGAGTGACCTCCAGCCCTCACCTGGAGACTGGACACATTTTACCTCAGAACAGCAAACTGGTTAGAATGTTAGAGGCAGGTTGCCTCCCAGGGAAGGGAGGGTCCGGTTATGAGCAGCCACGCTCACCTGCCTTGGTGCGGATGCAGCCGTGCAATCTTGGACCTTGTCTTGGATGCCAGCCTCTGCTCATCACTCCTGAGAACGCTGATTGATCTCCCAGCATTCCGACCCCTGGCACTGGTTTTCGGCTTGGTTTGGACTTTGCACCTAGCTTAAGTATACTGTATTGTGGCAACCAGCCAGAGCCGGCACATAATTACTTACAGCCCTACTCAAAAAGTAGGTGAACAGCACACTCCAACGCTGAGTTAACCAGACAAGCTCAATGAAATCAGTTGGTCTGTGCACTTATGTTTGTGATGGATAGTTGCCTAAGGGTATATGTATACTACGAACATGTGCTGTTTTACATCAGCTTAACAGCCATGGCTTCTTTCAAGGAATCCTGCGAACTGTAGTGGCTGAGAATCCTGTCAGTTATCATCAGTCACTGTCCCACTCACCCCACCCCCTAGTCAGAACTCCACTTCCTAACCTTTCCCGGGGACAGACAATGAAACCAGTTTTACCATCGCATACATAAGCAAGCGCTGAAGTCCCCGATCTTTCATATATTTCATTAACTTAAATCAGGGCTCTTTTTGTAGAAAAAGCCCAGCAGGAACTCATTGGCATAATAGGCCACACCCAACAGCAGAAACTCATTAGGACTGGCTACATTAGGGGGTGCGTGGCCTAACATGCAAAGGAGTTCCTGCTACAAAAAAGCCCTGGGTTTGGACAACAAACAAGATAAACAGAATAAGAAGCAAAAGGTGGGTGTGGCTGGATGACCACACTTCGGGTAACATGGGGGTGCGGCCTAATGTGCTAATGAGCTGTGCTGTCAGGGGTGTGGCCCAATATGCTAATGAGTTCCTGCTGGGAGTGGCCAACTTGGGAGCCAGCCGGAACTCCGTTCCTGTGCGTTCCTGCCCAAAAATAGCCCTGACTTAAATCTCATCAACCTGGATGGGGGGGGGATACAGGCTGAATGTGCTGGATTAGAATCCTGTAGCACATTAGAGATCAACAGAATCTTCAGGGTATAAGTGTGCAAGAATCGAAGCTGCCTTCGTCACGGTATCTGACAAAGGGTGTTTTGTCCCTTGACAGCTTGTTGGTCTCTAAGATGCTACTAGACTTGAATTTAGCTCTTCTACAACAGACCAGTGTGGCTTTCTTCTGAGGCTAAATGTGCATCACAGTTCTTCTGCACAAGCTCCAAAAGCCCCTATTTCAATGGTACTTGCATAAGAGAACTTCCGAACAGATAACTGGATTATCATGGCATGGGTCGACTACCTACATCACAGCCATGCTGCCTGCACCTAGTATATAAGGGGAAACAGCACTTCATGGCTTTTTGTGGCTACAAGAAGAAAGGAAAGGAAGGAGGGGAACAAAAAAACCCACACTCAAATAATTGAATTAAGAACCTGGAAGATTGTCAATGCAAATCTGAGGGCCAATTCCTAAAAACAATAAATGTAAATCATAAATATATAAATAATGCAAAATTATAAAAAAAATACATGTATTTCTTTAAAGATAATTTAAAAACCGTTAGGAGACCAATTTTTTTTGTGGCTACACATCAGCATGGCCATCCTTTCACAAAGGATTTCATGGTGTCAAAGAGCCATCGTGGTGTAGTAGTTAAGAGCAGCAGACTCTAATCTGGAGAACCGGGTTTGATTCCCCTCTTCTCCACATGAAGCCAGCTGGATGACCTTGGGTCAGTCACAGTTCTCTCAGAACTCTCTCAGCCCTACCTGTACCACAGGGTGTCTGTTCTGGGGAGAGGAAGGGAAGGTGATTGTAAGCTGCTCCAAGACTCCTTCGGATAGTGAAGAGCGGGGAATAAAACCAACTCTTCTTCTCCTACTGAGGAGCATGGGCTTTTCTGATTTGCTATCACAATCCCGAAGACAAGAATGCCATGGTAACTAATTCCACGCATCAATGGTAAATAAAGTTCTCCTTACACATCCGCTTCACAACCTGAGCAGACACCTGAAACTGTGCAATGCTATTTTGTTATTTTCCTCCTTTTGTGACGCACATTATCTAACCAGTCGGTAGGGTGGGATATGGATTGAGAGATGTCATAAACTAGGGCCGAGTTCAGACTGGCAGTTTGCCCCGATATAGGCACGTTTCAGAAACGTTCCACAACTGGATTAAAGGGGCCGTTCACATCTGTTTGGTGTTCCCCAGCCATACTCAACCCGTCTTGTAATGCTTCGCTCCCGAGTTTAAAAGATACCTGGTGAAAGTGGCAGCAAACCCTGGAAAGCGCGATTATCCCGCGTCTATCCCACACCAACAAAGTGTGAACGCCAAAAGCTGTGTTTTGCTTATGCACTCATGTGCACATGTGCATAAGCGCTTAGGCACTTATCTCCAAATTACCAAAAAGAAAGCCACGCCTTACAGCCACGCCTCCGGACCAGCGGTGTGAAGCGCTCCCTTGCGCCTCCTCCTGGTATGCTCCCACATCAGTCGCTGCAGTGTGAACGGGAAAACCCGGAACAGTTTGTTCCGGCTCTTTTTTGCCACGACTCCCTCCCGCTTCAAACTGCCCGTCTGAACTCGTCCAAAGAGAAGCTGTGCTATGACATGTGATTACTATACTATGAAGCTATACTATGACATCAGTTAATCAAGACTTCCTTTTGTGCTTACAGATTCTTGGACTGACGTTTGCAATGACCATGTACTGTCAGGTTGTGAAGGCAGATACCTACTGTGCATAAGAGCCATTTCTGAATCCACTGGCCCCGTCTTTCCTCCCTACAAGATGCAAGAGGACTCTTCATTCTCATTTTTTCCTATGTAAAATAAACTGTGTATAATCCTCTCTAGAGATTTTGTGAATCACCCTAATTTATCAATCACCACCATACAAAAGGAGGGGGGGGGAAGGAAATATGAAGGAACTCAGACTTGGCTGGGCAAAAGAAAATTCACTAAGTCACAAGAAAACCAAGAAAGACGAAATTGCTCCCTTTTGCATGGATTACGACAAGAGTGAAGAGGCCGCTTAATTTGCCAACGTGGGTGTAGAGGATGCAGAATAACTCAAAAGTACAAGTTTACTGCAATTTGTCCTTGTAGATAATTAGAGCATCACATCAAGGAATATGCTTCTGAACTGTTGGGGTTTTTATCACTGGAAATGGGACAGATTCAGGAAAGTTTTCTATTTAATGCAGTGGTTTCATATCCGAAGCAAGATATGAAAAAGCAGGATATATTCTGGTCTATGTTTAGGTCTTACAACCTAAACCAATAGTGGCATGCAAATGGGAATGGGTGGGAATTTATACAAAAAATATAAATATATTCATACACATAAATCACTCTAAAGCAAAGTTAACGTAGTCTAGTAGCTGCCTTGTAAAGCAGGGAGAGGCTTTCTCTGTTTTGTATTCCATGGGACCATGCATTCAGAAAGAAATAATCTATTATTGCTTGGAGGAGAAATTTAGGCCATCGAGAAACAAGTGATTACTTTGGATGGATCCCTACTTCCAGTAAACAAGGAGTAGTTGTCTTTGTCGCCCTCCTCCAGGTTTTCTTTTAAATATCATTCCTGTTTCAAGTTATTCTGTGTCAACTCATTTCCAGACTTGAAGACCCATAAAGAGCTGTCAGCTACTTGTCACTGGTATACTGTCTCATTGATTTGCTCTCTGGTCATTTCGGTTCCAAGTAGGATGGGGTCTCCCAAGTATAGGAAGTACCCAGAAGCTAGAATGACTTAAGTTTGCTTTGTCAGCCGGCCATTTGCAAGAATTGAATCAAATGGCCTCCAAGCAGAGTAAGAAACATGCATGATTTCCCCACTAAGAAACATAGGTAGCCCAATTAACGGCTGTGGATACTGCAGGGAAAAAATGCAGCTCTGTATAGGTAACCATTCCATACTGCCCTTTGGTCTCTCGGTATCAAAGTAGACTTTGAAGCCAGACTGTGAACACTATTGCACAGATCCAGCAAACAGAGACCGGTGTATCTCCTGGTAGATTAGTGCCCATCACTGTCTGAGGAGGAATAAACCCTATCCAAATCCAATTCCTATCCTGCCCCAAACCTTTTTGCCTTCCTGCTAAACAGTTGATTGGTGCTATCCATAGTCTAAGTGGTGCTGATACTAATATAATTTCCCTAATGTACAAGTCTGTAGAAAACGTTCCCATTAGTTAAGTTAAAGATCAAGCATTGTTATAGCTTCCTTTGCACCTTTTATTTGGTAGCCAGAGAGTTAATCATTGAGTATTTATCACTGAAGCATTAAGATTCCAGACAGACAAGTCTAATGACATAAGAAAATGGACCTGTGAAAATATGACTACATCTCAAGACCAAGTCAAGGTCACCCCCTGGCAGAAGGCTGCTTTATCTCTCCTGCCTACAAGGCACAGCCAAGCTCCAGGTTGGATTAGCTCCAAGCAAGGATATGTGGTCAGTCTATGTCACTAAGGTGTACTCTATGGTAAGATGAGAGGTGTGAGGGCTATTTAGTCTGTTTTTCACTTTGTGAACTCCAGCATCAATCACTGTTGACTATTTGTAGACCGGCAGTGTGGCAGAGTATGTATGCCAATTCTATTTCAGGGTCTTGTTTTATACCATGATTTCCTCCAGAGAGTCTTGCACACCATAATTGGGCGAGAATGCGATTAAAAAGCCTTAGGACTCTTATCCCGGACTGCCATTTCCATGATTCCCTGTGTTGGGGGAATGTACATGTAGCATGTACATATATAGCCCAGAGGTTAGGAGATTTGAGCCCTCTGGCTGTAGTCAACGATAAATGCCCGTCACTGGACTACCGAGCTTTGTTTATATCTGCAAACACTACGACTCGACATCATTGAAGGGCTGAGGACGTTTAACACCTCGTTGCCTTCCTGTGTACACTGCTAGTGACACTGCAGCCAGGCTTTCTTTCTTTCATTCATTCATTCATGGGCTTTGGTCTCAGTCCTGGCCCACCAACTTGGCTACGGTCTAAAAACCTGAACTTCGAGATAGAGTAGATGAAACAGAGCAATAGGCAAGTCAAGGGACTACTATGGCTAGTTATGGGATTCATGTACCAATCGCACAGGAAGATCTAGATACTAACCATACCCCCCCTTAGCCCCTCCCACTCATCTTTACTGCTACACATGCAGGCTTTGATGAATCAAGTCCTCAAGCAATAGCTGACATGTTATTTCTCCCCCTCCTCCCTCCTTCCTTCCCGCACCCTTTCTGCACATGCAAAGTGACTGTTACGTGGGAGTGCCATCCTGTTAGTTGTTCTCACGGCTCATTACCACTGTTG